TCCTTGTTGGTGCCCCTTGGGCTACCAAACCCTTAATCCTAGTCCATTACAGACTTAAGCGGATCGAGTTCAATTCGAGAGGACACATTTCCCTATGCCTGACACGGAGAATAAATTCTCACGAAGACATAGAGCATATGAACCCCGAAACCTACTTGCTAGGTCTAACACGGAGAATAAATTCTCACGAAGACGTCGCTTTCACTCCGACTTAAAAGGGACAAGCTTGATTATAAAACTTATGTTATGCAATGTTCGTGTTGTGTGTGAGGAGAAATATTCAAACCTCTGGCAAACAAATAAACAATGAAATTTAATACATGAAAATAAAATAAAAACAATAATAAAGAAGAATATATAAAATATTATGAAAATAATAAGTATATATATAAAAAAATTGAAAAGAAAGAATTATAAATTAAATATATGAATTTTTAATTTCTAATTAATAGAGACAATTTATAATTGATTTTAAAGCTTGGCCTGATCCCCAGCAGAGTCACCAAACTGTCGTAACCGGTTTTCACCCGGGCACGAAATTTTTACTTGGTGAGAAAAGTAATGTGGATAAAAAATGATTTTGATAAAAAATGATTTTGGAGTCGCCATCGGCCTTTTGGGTCAGGTAGGTCAAATACCTAAAAATCATCTTTTAAAAGAGTTTTTAAGAAAACATCAGTTAAAAGATAAATTGGTCTGCGTTTAACAAAAAATTCATTCTTTTTAGAAATAAAAAGGGATTCGTGATCGGTTACGTTTGGGGAAGGATTAGCACCCCCACAACGCCCAAAATTGGTACATGTTGATTATAAATTGTCTCTTCAAATATGAATTTAATTTACAATCGTGTTATTTCAAATTTAATCTGATATTTCTAAGAAAACAATATTAAATATATATATGTATTCATAAATATATTTAGGGTTTTTGTAAATAGGACATTTATTTATTTAAAATATCAGAAAAGAAAATCTAGTTGCTTTAAGACTGTCTTTTCTTTAATATTAATAAATAAATAAATAAATATTAATAAGAATATAATAATTTTCCTAAAAATAATGAAGTATATATTTTTATAAGCAAGATATTTATTTATTTTTAAAATATTAAAATAAGACATCTAGTTGCTTTAAGACTGTCATTTCTTAATATTTAAAAAATAAATAAATATTAAAAATAATAATTTAAGAAAAGTATTTAAATAAAACAATATATATATATTGGCTTTTATATTTATTTATTTTTAAAATACCAGAATATGACATCTAGTTGCTTTAATACTACTCTTTCTTAATATTTGAAAAATAAATAAATATTAAAAATAATATTTTTCCTAAAAAAATAATTTAAATAAAACAAAATTAAATATATATAAATATAAAATATACTAAAATAAAATTTAAACACTAAATTCTAAATAAAAAACAATTTATTGATTCGGAATCTTTCTTAAAGATTTTATCAAAATGATGAGTATTGTTTATTTACAATATGCATATCACGTGCATATAGTAACAACATTATATTAATTTAGTTCTATACCCTATATACATATAATATAAATTTATCAATCAATTTATTGACAGTCATGCTACCACTAAGTCAATATGATCATTACCTGTGTGTCAGTATATTACTATCTTCGAAAAGGTTAGATTTAAAAAAAATAATATCATTATCATATCTTATCCTAAAATATATATATATATATAACTAAAAAGAAATATATATATACTAAATTAAAATAAACAGAAATATGCTTTTATAGAATTTAATTATAAAAATATTAAAATTAATGGTCAAAAATGAAAAGAATTAAAATAACAATGATTAAAATATAAATTATAAAATTAAATGCTCTAATTCAAAATATTATGAAAACTAAGTATTTACAGTGTAATTTGACCTATGTTAATTAATTTCGGGATATAAATAAAATTTATTAAAATAATAGGGGCTAAATAGGTTATTTTACCTAATATATATATAAGCATATAAGGGACTAAATTATAAATTAAACAAAATTTAAAAACCAAATTAAAAGGATTTAAAGTTGATTTAAGTGATTAACTTGTAAATAAACAAATATATAATGGCTGCATAAAGGGTTTTACCCTTCTCAAATTACACACAGGCCCCTACCCAAAACGATGTCGTTCAGGGAATGGTATTTAAACCCTAAAATCGACCTTAAATCCTTTCATCTATCTCATTTTCTCATTTCTTCTCTCTCTCTAAATGAGAGAACCAGAGTTCTCTGCCTTCTCTCTAGATTCTCTCGACAGAGAGAATCCGACAACCGTGCCGGCCACCGTACTCCGGTGGCGATGGCCACCGCCGACCACCGTACATGGTGGCCGAAAATTTTCAAAATCCTCCAAATCAAAGATTATTCGATCCTCAAACCAAATCCTCCCTTATTTACCCCTAAAAATCCCTTAATAGCTCTAGATCTAAAATAAACCGAAGATTACCTTCGATTACCGACTGTTCCGGCGTCGTTTGGGCTCTCCGAGGGTAAGTCTCTTCACTTTCTTCTCTTTGTTTTTCGAATGGTTGCTTGATGTTTGGTGTCTTGCTGGGTTCTGTCGTGGTCTCTCCGTTCTTGCTCGCCTCTTTTTTTCTTGTTTGCAGGTAAACCGAGGCTTTATAACTTCGATGAGACGTTCATTGGACTGGGTTATGGAGCGATCTTCGGTGAGTCACCAAGCTATGGGGGTGACTCACCATAGATCTTCAACGTGGGTAGCCATCTGGGTCTTCTGGAGCATTCTGGCGAGGCGGCGGCGGCGTGGCTGAAGCGGGTTGGGTCACCTGGCAGTGGGAGCGTCGGCAGTGTAGACGTGGGGCTGCTGGAACTCTTGAAGCGATGGCTGGGACGTGGCCCTAGGGGTATCATACCCTAGGGTTTTATCTGGCTTATTGGTGGCCGTTGGATCTCTCCAGATCCAACGGTGATGAGTAACTGGCGGCTGGGCTAGGGTTAGAAACCCTAGGGTTTCCTCTGTATCCGGGTTGTGGGTTTTGTATCAATATTTGTATTTATTTAATAATAATAATAAATAATTATAATAATATTATTAATATTAATATTTAAATAATAATAATAATAGTAATTTTAAAAATAATAATTTAAGTAATTTAAGTAAAATGAAAAATTAGTGTTTACACTATGGATTGAGTCAGCTATTTTATTTGGCTTCTATAAAAGTGTATTGTTTTGTGGTGTCTTTCGGGCCAAGCTCAGGTTGTAGGTCTGGTCTGTTTTATTAGTGGTTGTTGTTGTAACTAAGGTGAATTAGGCTGAGTTAATGTTGTTTTTTAGGCTGTTTTCGTTTGTTTCTGGTGTTTTGTGTATGTTGGGGTGGATTACGGTTGTATCTTGTAAGTTCTTATGTTTAATGAAATCTTAAGGCACTCTTTTCCTCTTTCTGCCGATTAAGGAGTTTCTCTATAAACTCCTTTAATCAAGAATGAGGTTTTTAATGAGGCCTTCAACTCCTATCAAAAAAAATATTTTTAAATTTTAAGATTTAAGATTGAATTAATATTGTGTAGGATTAAGATTTAATATTTAGAGTTTGTCTATTTATTAATTAAAGTTGTAATGAGAGTAGTGAGAGAATAGTTAGGCAAAATTTTAGGGAAGAGAAATTGATTAATTTTAAAATGGACAAGGATCTTTAAATTATTTAAACTCAAAATGAGGTTAGAATTTAATTTATTTAATTTCAAAATAAAATAAAGTTTAATAAATACTCTCTGATCACTTGGATGGCAATCCTTGATAGGCTTCCTACAAAGGATAGATTTGCTAGGTTTGGTGTGGTGACAGACCTTGGTTGCAGACTTTGTGGTACTGGACTGGAATCAAGAAACCACATGTTCTTGGAATGCTCTTATTCGAAAGCAATCTGGGATTCCATTTTGCATGCTTACAGGTTATAGCAACAGAGTATTAGTTGGGAGGACTTGCTTGGCTGGATGGCTTGCAATTGGAAAGGTGAGTCCCTGTTAGTCCACATTCTAAAACTAGCATGGACTGGATTCGTTTATTTTACATGAGAAGAACGCAACCATCGTATTTTTAGGGGATTGTCACGTTCGCCTGATACAATTGTAGATATTATAAAGGGAGCTGTTAGAACAAAATTGTATAGGCGCGATATGAATAGAGTGGATAATGTAAATAGGCAACTGTGCATTGATTGGGAACTCATGTAATTGGTTGTAATTGTAACTTGTAGCAACTTGTTGCTCTCTTTGGATGAATAAATTGATTATCCAAAAAAAGGTTTAATAAATAATTAAACTTGAAATTTGAAAATAAAAAACTAATTTAAATATTATTTAAATTAATAATATCTAAAATTCATTAAAGTAAAAGGTTGGGCATGTCCTTGAGTTAATTTGGTTTTATAGATATTTTATATTATTTGTGATACGTAAATAAGTATTGGGTGCAACAATAATATATATATATATATATATATATATATATATATATTAAATATAAATTTAAATTTTAGAGATTATATTAATAAAAAGAATAATTATAAATTCTAAAAATAAGAGTTTAAGACAAATATTAACCATTATTACTAATATTATTTTAAAAAATATATGGAGCGGTCACAATGGATAAATAAAATGTTATTTTCCTTAGATTTTTAAGGTTTGAGAAATTACATTTGTAAGGTGTGTAGTGTCAATAATTAAAAAAATTATAAATAATATTACCTTATAATCACCTCATATTATTAAAAAATATATATATTAGTATATTGCTATTATATGATTTATTAAGAAATACATTACGTTACTATTATTGCATCTTATACAAACCCTAGACTAAAGTGAATTCCATTCTGATTGGACACATTAGGATAACTTTTCGTCTGATTTGTGATAATACATACGAATCTAATATAGATTAAGTCCCACTCGTGAGCAAAGTATTATAGTAAAAGAAAAATAATAAAAAGATATGTAAAACTCACCGACTGTGGCAGGGCTGAAAGTTGTGAATCCATCAACCACGTTCCTGCTGGCCTTCACCACTGTCTTCCCGATCCCATCTCCCACGAGCATAAGCATTGTCTTCTTCCTTTCCACTTCCACATTTTCAAAATAAGCCCCGGCTTTTTTCTAGATCACAAATATTGTGTGTCACTGTTGTACGGAGCGGCAGCTACAGCGGCGGTGATGTTGGTGAAGTTACCAGTGCCGTCCTTGGCAACAACGAGATCGAACTTGGTTTCGGTAACCGGAGCTTGTAACAGTTTTCTATCTTTCCATGATAACCATATTGGGAACCCGTTTTTCAGGCGTCTGTGTTCAGTGAAAGCCTCGGGTTTCGATTTGTTGACTCCATGGACCTTGTTGAGAATCGAAAGGGAGTTGCTGATATGATGAGAGATGTTGTGGAGACCCTTCTTGATAATGCTCCGAACATGCCCGTCGCTACGGGCGAACCCATCGAGACAAGTGTACTGGTTCGTCATCGCCGCGCTCAGAAACGTCTGCAAGTCATGTTTATTGTTCTTTGAGACCGGTAATCTCTTCGGTGCAAGATCGGAAAGGACCAGTTTCAGTTCCGCGGCGGTGTAATCGAAAAGCTCGAGGCAATCCTTTATGGCCGTCTCTTCCAATGTATTGTAACTTCTGAGTTTCTTCCCGATGTTGGTAATGTTTGCAGAGTATAGTCTGACCTCGTACATTGTTTGGTGCAAGATTGTTGCGCTGAGCTCCGGCAAGGTCTTGGAGGGTAGAGCTGGGACAACGGCAATGGTGGAGACGCAGAGCTCGGGATACAAAGTGCCATATTATAAAATAATGGTTGTGGCATCTGTCGCAGTTGCGGTGTCGCGGTTGCGGATGCTGCGGACGTCACGTAACGTGTTGCGACTGTTGCGGGCGTGATTTTTTAATGTGTTGCGGCTGTCGCGGGTAGTTGCGTTGCGTTAATATTGGGTCGTGGTGACCTTCAAAACCGTTACTATGCGGCCGTTACACTGCGTTGTGGCCGCAATTTAATACCATGCAAAGTGCCCTCCCATGCTGGGGAAGCTGCTTGGAGATGATTGTGGACGTGAAAAATGCTGGATTTGTGTGGTCTTAGGGCTCGTTTTTAGAATTATTAGCGACGACAGTAAGGCTAAGAGAAGAAATGAAATGGGAACAAGAAGAAGCAATGGCTTAACTCTTACACTAGGGTTGTTCATGTTTGATGCTAGTTAGTTTATGGCGACGGAGAAGGAAGGAAATATAAAAGAAAGGAGAGGCAGATACCGACAGGTGCGAGGCGAGTTGTTAAATAAGGTTGTTGATTAGATCCTAGCAACGCAGATCATTTAAGGAGCAAAGCATCGTTTTGTATATATGCATTTATGTGTATTTGTATATATAAATTATTTAAAAAATATTGAAATTATGTTATTATCCATCTTTTTCATGTTACTCAATTATTATCCATTTTTAATCTTTAATCGGCCGCCAAAATTATGGCCACAACTCACGGAAAACTGGATCGTGTATTCGTGTATTGTTCCCCATCATTTAGAATTCACAAATATTTGTATTTTCGTCTTAAAATGATAATTTTTTTTTTATATAGATAGAATTCGCTAATTTTTACTAAAAGGGGAGAATATATACAATTAAATGAATGTTTACAAAATGTAAACTAAATGTATAATTAGGATATTTTCTATAACCATTAACATAAGAAATTAGTGACTTATGATCGTATATAGACCATACAAGTAAAATGTTAATAACTCATCCAAAAATATTTGAATAAAATATAGATACGAATAAATCTGACTGCATTGACAAATGAATCACAATAGGTGATCAAACTATCGAAAGACCATCGACAATCGTAAATCAGAATCGGGTGTCATGAGAAAACTATCTCCGAACGCAAACCGCGTATCTAACTCAAATCTGAGGGTTTGAAGCAGGGAAGATCAACATGATAACAAATGAGCGTCATCCTGATTAGTCGAGGCGATGTCAAATCTAACCCTGAGAAAACCAAACAAAGATAACCGTCAAAAAGACAGATAGAAAAGATTAAAATCATGCCAAAAGTCTAAGAAAAACATACCATAAATACATAGTTGTTAAAAATTAAAAGAAAAAAAAAACTAAAAATGTGATATAAGAAATAAATGTAAAATAATGAATCGGTCAACAAAGATAAAGAAGAAAGGAGGCTATCAAGTGACATAAGTAGTTAAAAGGAGTGTTATTCTCTTTAACGGTCCTGAGTTTAAACAACTGTATCTGCGAGTGTGTATGTTGTCAATGACTAAGAAATATTCTAAACAAACACTACCTTGTAATAACCTTATACTCTTAAAAAAATATTATGTATATAATATATAATATATGAGGTATATAATTTAAGATTTAAAATTTAGTGTTTTGAATTTAAAATTTAGGTATAGAGTTAAGAGGTTTTATTAAATTTTAAGCAAGTAGGATTAAGTAAACTTAAGTTTACACTGTTTGAGTAAATTTTGAACATTTTTATTAAATTTCGCAAATATCTATATTTTCTCCTTAAAATGGTAATTTTAGATTACACATATCTATCTATGTTAATATTATATATAATGTATTTGATTTAAGATTTAAGGTTTTAGGATTTAAGATTTAGGTCTAGAGTTTAGAGGAGTGAGATTAGGGTTTTAGATTTTAGATTTTAAGATTCAAATAAAAAGGGTTACATAAATTTAGGTTTATACACGTTTAGGTAAAATTTGAACATTTTTATTAGAATAGCCTTCAACGTACTCTCATTAATCTAAGCCTGTTATTATTCATTGAACCTGTTTTTAATGGAATTAATCTTGTATCAAAATAACACTACTATCCCAATTATACTTTAATTTTCTACATCAAATATTAACGAGCACACCACAAGCTTAATAGACTCTCAACTTTTATTTTCTTTTATCTAAAAATATACGAAAAAAAAATCACATATGAAAAGAAAATATAGGATAAATAATAAATTAAACTCATAACAAGTACGTGTAATTAAGGGTGGGTAAAAATTGAGTCCTTTGTCACATCATTATTTATATATGGACTGTTATATCAATATCATGAATTCTGATAACAACGCGTGATAATCTCATAAAGTGTTACACTGTTTTTCTTGTTGCTTAGAATTGTTTTCAATACCATATATGGTGTTGAGTTTAATCAATTGGAGATTTGTGTTTATTACTTTGTGAAGACATCATGCAGGGGAGTTTTTAAAATCTTTTATATGGAATTTATTTTTCGTTGTATCCTTAGAAGATACCATATTTCATATTTTATTGCAGCTTTCGAAGCATTTTGTGCAAGTTGTACTCGTGTCAATCGATCTTATCTTCGAATCTTAAGTTTTTGTTATAATGGTCAGATTGCAAATTGAGCTTGCTCAACTATATACATGGCTAATACTTACTAATGTGAGACTTTTATTAGTAACTTCTAGTTGTTTTATAGTAAAATAAAGTTATTCAAGTATTGCTTGAATTAATAGACTCACTTGGTTTGACAATAAAATAAAAAAGAACTAAATTGATATAATTTTTAATTATAAAGGATTAAATTTATTAAATTATTCTGAATTAGGTCTAAATTGGTAGAATACATAAGTTTTAGAGACTAAAATTGTTATTATATCATGTCACATTGGACTTCCGTCTTAACAACAGAGTGACTTTTTACGATAATATTTAAATTGACGAGTAGATTGTTATTTTTTGGAAAAATTTGACAAATTTTTAATCAAACAAATAAATAAGTAGCCTAAAAATGTAATTTACCCTTAAATTTATTGAGTTGCAATTATATTAAAGTGAGCATTTTCTAACAATTCAATAAAAGTATGAAATTTTATAATTTTTAAAATTTTAATAATTAAAACTATTATAAATATAATTTATTAGCCCATTGTATACTTTACCTAATTTTAAACAATAATTTAAAATTACAGAATTGATTAGGACAATATTAAAGGCGGTGCCGGTCACACTAGTACGTATACCAAACAATAAAGCACAATAAAATATGCGTTTGGGCACCTAAAAGCCCTGATTATACGGCTCTTTTAATTTTTTTTATACATATAAGATAAATACAAGATATATTTGGATAAAAACTCTCAATCAATTAATTATCAAAGTTTATTTTTCTGTGCTTGAACTCGTGACCTCAAAAGAGAAGAGTATCTCAATCACTGAGGTCAGTTAGCTCTTACTTTAAATTGAATCTGAATATATATTACATAATTTATATTATTTGGGTTTTGTTCTTAGAATATTTTCATATTGATACATATCTGAAAATTGATATAAAATGCATTTCTGAGACAATGACAAATAGAGCATAAAACTATAACAATGGGTGAGGGATCCTGTCCCGTACTCATCAAAGAGCAGTAATCTCCGTAAAAAGGGACGAACGAAATTTTCTTTTATTAAAAAAGGATATTATAAAAATTTTAAAAAAATGTTAATTTATAAAACTTTAAGAAATAAAAATAATTTATCAATAAAATATATAAAAATATTTTAAATGTATAAAAAATGAAAATAAGGGGTAAAGAGAGTATCTCAACCATTCAAGCTCGTTTGAAGCTCGAAGATGGGCTAATTTTCAATTGTTGAAACACATCCTTTTTATACACTCTCTTTACCCCTTATTCCCAATAACCACCGATGTGGGATATGAACTACTTTCAAATAATTCAACAACAACAACAACAATGGGGTTGTCCAAATCCACACCCCACCTTCAACGGAGTTCAATGATATAACAACCTTTCCAATGGCGTCATCCTTATTAGGACCCACACGATCTTCAACTGAAAAAATCAGATGATCTTCAAAGGGTTCAGCAGCAACAAGCATAAACTCCTCGTTCCAAATCGGATTCATATTTCGGTTTTGAACAGGTTTTGTCTTTAAGATCTGGTTACCAATTTGAAACTTGACATATGCATCAGGAAACCTGTTCTTGTCAGCTGGAACAAGGTCTTGAGCCTCAATAACTTTTACACGGACATACCATAGTCTCGGAGAGTGATAAACTTTTGAACGGATGTATGTTGGGGAAACCAAAGTGCTATCACCTGGAGTAATAGCATCCGAATGCCACGCATCTGGAAAAGCCTCATCAGCCTGTGTGCCATACCAAACTGCAAGCATCAGTTCTCCTTTCTTTTCCTCTCCTTTCTTGTCTTCCAACCGATACCATTCCGGAGCCAATGGACTTTCCGGTGGAACTCTGTGAACGGCTCTTGATGGTGGCGGTCCATATTTCATCTCATGTACTCCATAATTCATCTGTTGTTGAGGAGGCATTGTAGTAAACTTTTGCTTCTGTTCCAACTGCTTTGCATTTGGAAGATGATGAAATGTATGTCTTTTACCATTTTTCTCTTTGGGAAATGAATTTGGGACTGCTTCAGTATACGGCACAAATGATGTTGAGGTGAGGCGAACCTTCCCAAGACAGGTTTTAGCATTGTTTGCTTTGTTATGGCTGTAAACATAAGCTTCAAGAGGGAGACGAGACTTTATTTTTCCGCACAGAAAGAGACAAACTGAGCTGTCAACTTAATATAAACTAATTACAACTTGGAGTTTTCATATTAATTTTTTGGTAAATTAAGTTATAGTCCCCCAAACTTGAGCACCCTTTTGTAAATCCC